CGCGTTTCCTCCAGCCATATGCTGGAGATTCGTTGTGAGGCTCTAGGGTTCGACCACATCCAGGCGGGCTGCTGAGTCATCCTGTCAGTGCTGGGTCCAACCATACTTGGGCTATCACCCTCCGCTATATTTGCGATCCAACGGCTAACCCTATATCTTCTTTAATCCTTATCTTATATAAATACCCTGGTTCCCACATTTAGCAAATTTTTACCTTCCACAAACTTTCGCAATCAAATCTTTCTTATTGTCTTGTATGTTCGAGCATCTCTGCACTTCACATCCCTCAATCCCGTCGCCGGTTCATCTTCAATCGCACCGAGTAAGTTCTCTTTAATCTTTGAATTTGTGTGTGTTATGTGGTTGTTTGATTTTGAGTATTCTATTCCTCTTCTTCTTCCCCTTTCTGCGACGTCGATTTCGCCTTGCCAGTTGTACGATCTTTTGCTCCTCTTCTTTCTTTCACTCTGCAAAAGTCCGCCTGAGGCTCTCCTCCTTTATTCCTTTCTTCTGTTACTCGGCTTAATCCTCTTTCTTTGTTGTTTTAAATTTTTTCAGATTTCGCGACTTAAAGCAAAAACGACCTGTACAGCGGCAAGGATATGACCTCTCCTTCTTCCTCATCAACTGCAAGCCTATCGAGCGACTTTGTCCAGGAAATTCTCCAACCCGAACCCCTTAGCGTCATTCGACCCACGGTCATTAGCGATAGTCCTTCGGGCACTGTTGTCTCTCCCTCTTCCTATCTGGTGGACCAGCCAGAGGAGGACGTCACTAGTTGTCCCTCTTCTCCACCCACCGAGCGTCTTCGTCGAACCATTGGTAAAGACGACGAGGTTGAGGACGATCCGGAAGATTTTATCCCTTTGTACTCCCGTGATCCCAATGATTTTGTTCCCTTGTCCTCTCGCGTGCCTTCTTCTTCGACCCCTAATAAGCGCTCCTCTTCCTCCTCCCGCAGTGCCAACTTGTTCGACGAGGACCGGTATGGTTCCTTTGTGATGGTGTTTAGCCCCTCAGATAACGATACTTACGACGATCCTCCCACCAGTACATATACTTTCTTCTAGGTCCAATTCGACCTTGGCTTTCGTTTTCCTATCTGTCAGTCTTTGCTCGATCTCTGTGCCTTGTACGGCTTAGCTCTCAATCAACTGCCCCCTAACGCTTTTAGGATTCTGACCACTTTCATTATCATCTCTTTTGTTCGTATGGGTCGACTCGACCTTGATTTTTTCCATTATTGTTACCTGGCCTCCAAACAAGCTGGGGGCATGTATTTGAAGAGCCGCAATGGTGCTTAGTTCATTGTCGATCGCCCTTCAAACGTTCCTAAGTAGAAAGATAAGTTTGTGTATATAACCCCTAAAACTCATCTTCCTTGGGCCGCTATCCCTTGGCTCAAAGAACTTCCTTTTGAGGTCAGACCCCTGTTAATAATCCTGTCGCAACCGTCGCATCGCTTTGTGGAATTCCAATCATGTGGCTACTTTTTTTTGCTTAAGAATGACAACCTTTTTCATCATTGTGGCATACTTACCCATAAACCTTTTTCTTCTCCCCTCACTAAAACTCTTATTGGTCTCCGCGTCGATCCGTCCCTTGTTGACCTTCATATGAAAGCTCGCGCAGGTGCTCGAATCAATATTATTTTATCTCCCTAATATATGTTCTTATGTTTGTTTACACCTTTTGTGTTCGAAAAAACTTTTACTAATCTGTGCTCTACTCATGCAGTGGGATTTTTGCCCAGGCCCAACCTGAAGAGATCTGCGGAGAAGGGGTCTGCGATCAAGGACTCCTCGGGCCTAGCGAACAAGACCAAACATACTTCCTCGACCAAGGAGGTGCCTCCCCGTACCGAGAAGTTGGGGGCTTTTTCTGGTTCGAATAAACAGAAGACTCTTCCCCCTCCTCCCAAACAAACCGACCGCTCTGCCTACCCATCGACCAAAGATGCCGATGCGGCGAAAAAGCAGCTCCATTTGGAAGTGGCCATTCCTCCTTCCTCTGGCCAAGCAGTCAACCATCCCTGCTCTCCCAACAAGTGACCTCATCTTGAATCGCAGCCTGCTGGGGCCCAACTTGTGCAGCAGTATTCCCGCTCCCCTCCTCCTTCCTTAGTGGGAGCTGGTCCTCGAGAGGCTATCTCTCGTCTTATTGGCCTCTTGCTCTTCGAGGATACGTACCGTTGGGCAGTAGACCACCGAGCCTAGGTCGAGTATGTTGCTCGCGCCTTAATACAGGTATATTCATCCGTTACCATCATTTTCCCGTTACGTCCTCAATTGTTTCCATCCCTGCTTGTATGTTGATCTCCATTATCCTTGCAGACTCTGGTCTCTTTTGCTCCTCTCTTCGAGGAGAACCTGAACAACTATGGCCGCCCTCTCCCGGTGGTCGAAGGGGACAACAGACGTCTTGACACAGAGAACCAACGACTAAAGGCCGAAAATCAAGAGTTGCTCAAGGTGTGCCACGAGCTAACTGAGCAGCTAAAGTAGGATAAGCAGCGCTATAAGGATGCGCTAAAGGCAAGGATAAGGTCCTCGAGGCAGAAAGGTCCAGCCGGAAGAAAGAGGTCGAGGCTTCAGCTGTTTTCGCGGCTGAGCAGTCCCAAAAGGCCTTGTGGAGATCTCAGCTTGGTCAGAGTTTTCTCAAGGCTTATCTGGAGCAGCTGATCGATGTTTACCTATGTCCCACTGCCTTTCTCAAAGAGGCTTCGGGTATGGGACTCGACTTCTACACCTACAGTGTGGAAGAGGTCGAGTGACAGCTGAATAAGCAGGGCTACACAGGCGATCTCAATCACAATAAAGTTTGGGATGTCATTCCCGATATGCCTTCCAATTTTAATGGTGATCCCAGTCTGACCCCCGAGCATCTGTGGTGGTCGGAGTCGTTGGAGCGGGCCTTGGTAAAGGATAAGACCCTGCAACATTACTTTGATTTGCCTAAGCCAGGTGAAACTCCCATGATCCGCCTCTCAATTATCCTTCCTCAGCCGCTGACCTCTAGTGCTCCCTCGTCCACATCCGGTCCATCCACTTCAGCTATCGCCCAATCTTCTGCCGCTATTGTTGCCTTGTCCAGTGCTGTCGCTTAATCCGCTTCGCCAACTGAAGCCGCACAATCGACCGCCGCTACCGTCGCCTCGTCGACCACAATTGCGCAGTCGACCATTGCTGGCACTACTTCGTCGAATTCTACTGCGCAGTCGACCGGTGCCGGCACTACTTCGTCGACTGTTGCTGCACAGTCGACCGCAGCTGCTCGATCCACCATCGCCCATTCTAAATAATTTTAAGTTTGATTGATGTACTCTCATTTTGCTAATGTAACTCTGCATTTTGCTAATGTAACCTTGCACTTGTTGTATGAAGTCTTGATTTCCTTTCTTCTTAGTTTTTGCTTTATCTCACAACTTATTATGAAAATAACTTAGGCGATCCTTTCAATATGTGAATCCTCCCTTCATCCTGACTTGAATAACTATAAACATGCTCATGTAACATTAAACCATGTGCATGCTCGATGTGCTTGATATCGTGTTGTGATCTTCTATCTATCGTAAATACATCAATGAGATTCCCATTTCCACCCAGAGGGTATCGATGCTCTTATCGTAACACATATGAGTTGGATCGTGCATCTCATACAGTTGATTGTAGTGGCTTTCAGATTCGTCCTTCTTCCATCCTTGTTGTGATAAACCTGTTCAATCTGTTCGAAATCTTGCTGGGATGTTCCTCACACGTGGCTTGATCTATGCGTTCTTCGCTCGATCCTGTGTCTTAGTATTGACACTTGCCCACCCCAGAGGATGTTCCGAAAACATGGTGGTCGTCCAGTCCGGAGGCATGGACATTTTCGACCACCTGCCCACCCCAAGGAATGTTCCGAAAACAAACGACCACTCGCCCACACCTATCGCCGGATGTTCCAAAAACGAGGGACTTTTGTCTTGTTTCCTCGAGCCATTCATCATCGAGATCGTGTCCGCGACTCCGTGCACACCATACAAAAATTCCAAAAGACCATATAAGCGATTCATGTATATCATATCAGCAAACCAATAAAGCCATACAAGAAATCGACGAAATC